AGAGGCATTGAATTAGAGAGGCATTGAATATATTTGCAGGATATTGACAACAGACACACTCGCATATGGACACACAAGCATAAACAGACACACATACGGATACAAACATAAACACTCACGCACGTATATATGCATATGTATATATATATATACGTACGTATATACGTATACACACACACACGCACACACGCACACACAGACACACACAGGCACACACACCCACACCCACCCACACACACACACACACACACACACACACACACACACACACACACAAATATATATATATATATATATATATATATATATATATATATATATATATAATATATATATATATATATATATATATATATATATATATATATATATAAATATATATATATATATATATATATATATATATATATATATATATATATATATATATATATATATATATATATATACATATACACATATACATATATATATGTATACATGTATGTATATATACATATTTATTTATTTATACCCCCCCCCCCCCACACACACACACACACCACACACACCACACACACCACACACACACACACACACACACACACACACAAATATATATATATATATATATATATATATATATATATATATATATATATATATATAAATATATATATATATATATATATATATATATATATATATATATATATATATATATATATATATATATATATATATGACTGCCACAATAGCTCAGTGGTTAGAGCACTGGACTCCGACCCTCGTGGTCCCGGGTTCAATTCCCCGTCGCGGCAGTCGTAAAAATGCCTGCGCTCTGACTGCTTACTCGAGCCCGAGAAAACGACATACCGGCTTGAGAGATCAAACGCAGGTGTCGTAGGGGAAGTCACCGCCGTGGCACAAGTGTTAACGCCCCGAACCACGGTTGATTAGGAAGGGCATTCAATCAGGCAAGGGTGACACTGCCATATAACCTCTCAATACTGAATTGAGGGAGCCCTATGTCCTGCAGTGGAATGAGTGGCTGCTGAAAAAAGTATATATATATATATATATATATATATATATATATATATATATATACATATATACATATATAGACACATATACATATATATGTATACATGTATGTATATATATATATTTATTTATTTATACCCCCCCCCCCCCACACACACATTCATATATATCACAGTTCGTGTTCAGATGTCATGGTGTCCACACCTACTTTATATATATATATATATATATATATATATATATATATATATATATATATATATATATATATATGTATATATATATACATATATTATTGCATACACATACACAAATAAAATCCAAATAAAAAATTAAAAAGCGGCGTGCGTGCATTCCCGTCCGGCTGAATGAACTGCCGGCTTCCCCCCTCCCCCCACCCCTACCCCCCGCAAGGAAAGTCCTTCGCGCAGCCACGGCCGCCGGGCTTTAGGAGTCCCGTTACGCTCTCCACAAAACCATTTCGTTGCTTTTTATTTTCCCTTTCTCCGTTTTTCCTCTTCTTTAATTTCTTCCGGGTATTCTTCCGTTTGTAGTTGTTTTGTTGTTTTGTTTGTTTCTTTGTGTTTATTCGTTTTCTTTTTTTATTCTGTATGTTTTTTTTTCTCTCTTTTTTACATGTTTTTCTCATTTCCTTTTTTTCTTTTTTTTCCACTTTTCCTCATGTTTCCCCCGTTTTGTTTCCTTTACCAATGCATATTTCTTTTTCCCTCCGCTCGTCTCTCCACGTCCCTCCTTCAATCACTTATTTTCATCTCTCCATTTTTCTTTTCTTTCATTTTTTTTCTGCTTTTGCTGTTTCTCTTCTCCCTCTCTTTCTCTTCTCACTTTTCTATCTACCATTCACTCTTCCACCTCTCCCTCTTTATCTTCCATCCCTTTCTCGTCCTTTCTTCCACCTCTTTCTCTCTCTCTTCCACCTCTTTTTTTCACTCTTCCATCTACTATTCTCTCTTCCATCTCTTCCTCTCTTCCACTTCTCTCTCTTTCCCTCCCACCTCCTTCTTGGCCCTACCTCCACTCCTCCCGTTTTCGCTTCCACTTCTCCTTCTCCTCCACCTTTCCCTCTCCTCCACCTCTCCCTCTCCTCCACCTTTCCCTCTCCTCCATCTCTCCCCCTCTCTCTCTCTCTTCCACATCCTCTCCTAACCCCATACCCCCGACCTCTGACCTTTGACCTGTCTGGTTGACCTGTGATATGGATAATGGGAATCTCCATTAGGCTTCCCGGAACTAATGGCTTTGCAAATGAACTCGAGCTAATGACGAAATTCGGTCACGTTGACATGATGGCCAGTCTTGTTTAATGAGGTAATTTAAAGTTTTTTTTTTCTACTTCTATCTTTTTTATAATTTTCATTTTTATTTGTCCTTTTTAAGGGCCGGGTTCTTTTTTTTCTTTTTTTTCTTTGTTCTGTTTGTTAGTTTTGGAGACTTTATTTTCAGCTCCATATTTTGTTCTACTGTTGTTTTATTTGTGTTGTTAAGATCTTTATCAATTATCTATTCTGTTGTTTCTCAAACTGGAGAAGAGGGTTAATTTAGGTCTATTTGCTTGTTCGTTTTGTTGTTGTTTCTTTGTTTGTTTGTTTTTTGTCTATTTTGTTTATACGTCGCTTTGTTTCTGGATCTTTCGGTTTTGTTTGTATACCTGATTGTATTCGTTTTTGTCCGTTTGCCTGTTGATTTATTCGTATTTTTTTTGTAAAACTGTTCTTTTGTCAGTTTGATTGTAGAAATACTTGCATTTGTTTGTATTTCTGCTGAACTGTAAGTTTTTTTTTCTTTTCGGCTGCTTGTTAGTTTGTCCGTTATCAATACTATTTCTCTTCGGGCGGCTGTTTATTTGTAAAATTATTTATTTTTTGTTGTGTTGCTTTGCATGTCCTTTTTTTGTCTGTCCTCTTTTTTTTATTTGTATGTAGAGCTGCCTGTTTGCAAAATCGTTTTTTTCCTTTTATATAGAACTGCCTGTTTCCTTTAGAGAATTGCCTACTTGTATAACTGCGTGGCTTTTTTCTGTGTTTTGTATGTAAGTCACACATACATACATACATACACGTATGTATGCATCTATATTTATATGTATTTCTATAAAAGCCTGATCTCTCTATACATTACCCCCTTGTCTCGTCGTTTCCTAGAACTGACTGAATGCTTGCTGGTTTCTCACTGTAGCTCATTATCAAACTGTCTGACTCTGTCTGTCGGGATGGTTAATTGCCTTTAACTGTGACTGACTGTCTTTCTCTCTATCAGTTAATCTGCCCTTCAAAGTGCCAGTCTCTATCGAAGTTTGTCTTTCTGTCTTTCTATAATTTTAGATTCTGATGACTTATTCTGACTTTCATTTTCCTCGCATCTTTCTTTCTTGCGACTTCCTTTATTTTTGTGCCTTCCCCTCTTTCTGCTATTTAATTCATTCTGTCTTTATCAATTTCCCTTTGTGCATTCTTGATCTTACACATATTCTACAATCTTTTTGATTGTCCTTTCCGTGTCTCTCTCTCTCTCTCTCTCTCTCTCTCTCTCTCTCTCTCTCTCTCTCTCTCTCTCTCTCTCTCTCTCTCTCTCTCTCTCTCTCTCTCTCTCTATCTCTGTCTCTTTTTGTGTCTCTCACTTTTTCATTGTCTATCGGTTTGTCTCTGTTGCTCCCATCTTTGCATTGTCAGTCTGTTTATCTCTCTATATCTATTTTTCTGTCTATCTCTATGTACCTCTTCGTTTGTCTCTCTCTCTCTCTCTCTCTCTCTCTCTCTCTCTATTCCTTCTTTAAATCTCTTTCGCTCTCTCTCTCTCTCTCTCTCTCTCTCTCTCTCTCTCTCTCTCTCTCTCTCTCTCTCTCTATTCCTTCTTTAAATCTCTTTCGCTCTCTCTCTCTCTCTCTCTCTCTCTCTCTCTCTCTCTCTCTCTCTCTCTCTCTCTCTCTCTCTCTCTCTCTCTCTCTCTCTCTTCTCTCTCTCTCTCTCTCTTCTCTCCTCTCTCTTCTCTCTTCTCTCTCTCTCTCTCTCTCCGGTCGTTCATTAAGTCTCCCCTCTCCCCTCATCTCTTCCGTCTGTTCCCCTTACTGTTTTTTCTTTCACTTCTCTTTATCCTTATCATCTTTCCTCCTTGCCCCTTCCTTCCCCAAAAGTTATATCGCTCATTATTATTGCTATCATCGTTCACCTTGTTTCTCCTTAATTTAATTATTATCAATCATTCTTTTCAATTTTCTTTCGCCCCTTTCTCTCTCTCCCCCTGTTTCCCTTAACTTTTCTCCGGGTATTTGATTTATTTATATATTTTATTTTTGCATGGGGAGTTACTCGTCGTTTTGACCATCCATTGATATTATTGTTGTTATTTTTTTTGTGATTGTTATTGTTATGCTGCAGTTCTGATTAAGCGTCACTTGCTTTGGGCGCTTTATCGCTATAGATATTGCCTTTGTTGTCGCTGCTGCTATTGTTTTCACTGGCTGGTGTTTTTTTGCTTTTGTTTTTTTTTCTGTTGCTGTTCCCTCTGTTCTGTTGTTCTAATAGTTATTAATTTAATTGCAATAATTATTGTTATTATTACTGTTGTCGTTTTTACTACTACTATTATCATTATTATTATTATCATAATTATTATTACTATTACTATTACCGTGATTACTGCTATAATAATTACATTGGAATCTTTAAAGCTCTCTCTCTCTCTCTCTCTCTCTCTCTCTCTCTCTCTCTCTCTCTCTCTCTCTATATATATATATATATATATATATATATATATATATATATATATTTATATATATATATATATATATATATATATATATATATATTTATATATATATATATATTTATATATATATATATATATATATATATATATATATATATATATATATATATATATTTATATATAAAATAGACTTTAAGCCAAACAACCACTTGTAAACAAGCAATTATCTTCCGTTTTCTATAACTTAC